GCTCAAGGGTAACGGTTTACCTGTTCTCGATCTAACCATCGAGAGCATCGCGTATAACAGATTCAGTATTGCTCCTGTATTAGATGCGAATAGTAGAGACTGGGAGGCAGACAGCGGCGCCCAACTTGAGGCAGAAGTGGCTCACTCGTATATTGTGAAGAAGGCCAATATCGCTGTTGTCGTTGCTTGGAGGAAGCCCACCAACGCATCTAAACCAACACCAATCTTCACTCGGGTCTATCCGTCTACTGGAGGGGTCACTTGGCCAAGTATTCCATGGGTTGATATTGTCCCCTCTCTTGAACAAGCTGAAGAGAGGGGTGAAGTCCACCTCACCGTCAAGTGGCAATACAGCGCCGTACCAATCTCTGGTGGTATAGTGACTGGCGTACGAACGCCTCGAAAAGGTGGCCGAGCAGGCGTTTCAGCCGGCATGCAAGAGGCGATCGATCGTGAGGCTAACGATCCTGCAAACGTCGAGCGTCGGAAGGAGGGTATGCACAGACAACTTCTCCGTACGCACATCTGCCCAGAGTACCAGAGATGTAAGAATAGTTCGGGCGACGAGAAGTTCAACTGGTGCTATATACTAGGCCAGAAGCACTACAAGATCAAATCTCACCATATAGAGAAGTGGGCGAAGGCTATTATGACTGGACAGGCTGGCGTTGACAATATGGAACCACCTAAAGAACTGCTTGGTGAGATTCTTCACGACCAGTTTATAGAGGATCAGAAACGCCAGGGCAAGAGAAGTAAGAATATCGTGGAGGTTGATGATAACCAGGAGACGACAGTGATGACGGAAGAGAAGGCTGAAAATGCCGCACTTCCATCATCAGGGTCAAGATCTGGCCTAACCAACGCCAACAGCAACGCCATCGTCAATATATACGGCAACGCGGGGGCGCCAGATCGTCATCTTCAATATCCTAACCCATACGTACAGCTGCCGCCGCCGGCGCCGCCGCCGCCGGCATATTGGCCATATGCGAACATCTCACAGTATTCGTTGCCAACTCTTCCGCCATTGAACCTTCCAAGCACTCGTCAACCAAGTATCGCACTCCCGATTCGTTCGTCCTCGCCAGTGGTACCGGATTCGCCTCGAAAAGCTCTAGATCAAGTGGCCAGCTTCATCAAGTGGTTTATATCCGTCCGCGGCAAGCGATATAACGTCGACGAAGGGTTCAGAAAGAAGCTACAGAAACTGCGATCAGTAGACAGTAGCTTGCGGGCAATTCGCAAGTTACCAGATATTTGGTTTACTGAACAGGGTTTTACTCAAGATCTTACCGAAGATGTCAGGAACTCGATCAAATCCTTCATAGACAACAGCGCCTACTACGGAGGGCAGTCTGACGCCCTCTCCGACGTGGTATCTCACTCTGAACTTCATTCAAACCATCGAGAGTCAGAAGGAGATGTTTATACAAGAATATACGCTGGATTGCCAGGAGGGACGGCGGCGGCGCCAGTTGAAAACTCTGCGGCGCTAGTTTCAGGCGAGTTGGGGTCATCCCGACATATCGACGCCCTAGTGCCACGTCAATCCATCGAGCAAGAGATCCGTGGTACGCCAGTTGAAGTTGGTCGACGTGGTGAGTGTATATAGAGCTGTTTACTGTCGAATATGGCTAACTTTGTAGGCGTTTCGGAACTCTTTGGTTTCGTTTCGTCACCACTGCTGTCAGCGTCGCAGATGCTGCCCACGCAGTTACAGATCGAACAAGACGAAATCGAGCAAGGCGATGAGGACAATCAGATTGAAATCTCGAGTGATACGTCGTCAACAGAGACGTATTACTCGGAGGAGGATAACGAAGAAGAGTGATACAGCAAGAGTGGTGTGAAGTTTGACTGTATGCGCGATTTTTTTGCATGACGTGTTCAACCACGGAAAAGTCTACCCATAGCCGTAGATTCAACACTGCCGCTCTATACGTATAAAAGCAATAGAATTACTGTTATTTTGGATCTGCAAACAATACACTTCGGTCCATCCCGATACTGGTTAGGGGCAGTTGAAGTCTCTGACTATGGTTGAAGTCTCTGATCGTGATGACGTGTCATCATCACAAATCATCGTCACAAGCATCAACAACGCGTTTCAGCCGTTATACAGGCAAAATTGATATGTATACGTAGCTACCGACGAAAACAATGGACGACGGTATATTTTTTGTGTTCTGGTGCGCTTGTGGCTAACCTTTTGGCAATCTTGTTGGCTACAATCATGGATTTGATGATTGACCATCATATGACGACACGATTAAGATCTATTGCGCGCGAACGCACGATGAAAATTTGGATTGCTTGCTGATGTTCAATATTGGCAGCAAATCCTCCCTTTTATAGTTCGATATCGTCAAATATATGCTCTGTCCCATCAAAGTTGACGAACGAATGGCGGAAATGGCCCTCGATCTGGGGTAGACGATACCCAATCTCCATAGCGCAGTCACGTAGATATTCCATGAAATCCCGAGTGTCATTCTCATCGTTGTTCCACTTCGAATACGTCTTCCTGATGTATCGCTTTAGATCGCCGAAGTACTCTTCGATGGGGTTGAAGTCTGGTGAATACGGAGGCAGAAACTCGAGATGGACACCTGATACCCGGCATAAACCCTCGATTTCAGGTATACGATGGCAGGAGAGGTTATCCATAACGATGACAGAGTTTGGCTCTGGAAAACGCCCACATTTCGGGATAAGGCACTCCTGTAGCCAACGAAAGAACCCATCGCCGTCAGTCGTACCATAATACGTAGTCAAGTGTAGGATACCGCTCAACGTGAGGGCTGGCAGGATCTGTACGCGAGAGTTCTGAAACCGATCAATCTCTGCAGTTCGAAACGCAGCAAGCCCTTTCGGCGCCCATCCAGTCCTCCGTATCCCAGTATCCTTATTGACGCCGGATTCGTCGACGAATACCAGCTGGTCGGGGCGATATCGTCGTATACGGTACAAGTACTCGTATCGTAGTTCGTCACTTCGCTGAGCAGCAATAATCTTGGACTTCTTGTTCGTCCAGCCAGCTGAGTTTAACTGTCGACTGATTGCAGAACGACTGATCTGGATCTCGAAGGCTTCAAATAGGAAATCTTGCATCTCTTCAAGAGATAGATCGCTGCGGTACTGCAGTAGTTCAAGAAGCTCTGTACGATGCCATATTTCCATCTTTTGTCGACTCTGGCGGCACCTCTTATATCTCTGCACTTCGCCAGTGATATTACGTCGTGATCTATGTCGTCGAATCGTTCGTTCGGTACAGCCAACGATACTTGCCAGCTCGTGGGTCTTTTGGTCTTCGAATGGCAGTATCATCGCGATCGTCGATAGCTGTAGATTCGATATTCTGGGCGCCATTGTATCGTCGTCGTCGCCCGGCGTCTTTCTCGATGTATCTGATATAATAAACCACGGACATGTACTGACCAGCGGCAAACTGTAAGTAACAGGGCACAATCTATACAGCAGTAGACTCTTGCTCAATATCGTGAACAAGCTGAGCTATCAGGAGAGTCATTAATCCTGTTGACTGCCAAAGCATTTGCTCTGAAGAACCGTATCAAGCCCCTTGGTATGCTTATATATTACTCAGAGCCATACAAACCGTATGCTGAGTAGATATATAAAGTCATACAGCAGGTCTCTTCTTCTGTTCCTCAGCAAATGTCATCTTGATCTCTCATGACGAAAATAGACCTTTTGTTGGTCGAATGGTATGGGGATGAGGTGACTAGCTGGGTTGGCAATGCCTCGATGGGTAGATTGACTGCTACGGAAGCATGAAATACACACCTTATGTCTCTATCGTGTAGTTATACGTTTGAATACTACTGGGACTATAGTGATTGACGGCAATTGAGGTGTTGGTGATGACTTTGACGCGTTTTGCGTGCGATGCAGAGAAATGCGCGTCACAGCGTAAAATTGGCTTTTTTTCATGTTTTTGCATAAGCGGGGAAAAAAAAGGGGGGCGGACGCTGTCAACGCAACGGAGTGTAAATGCCCGCTTGCTAATTGAAAGTGGGGACATATTCTCCCCTTGTCACTTCAACAAAGGGTCAACACCAAGAAACAGTGGCAACATGGTGAACATGTTTTCTTTTTCCTAGACCACGATGACTCAATTGCCCCCTGTTTACATCGGTTTATCTGCATAATCTTACTCGTCCATCTGCACCAGTTTTCGAGTTCGTGCTTGCGCGCTAAGGGTGTTTGTCGTGTTTCCGAAGCATCCGCAAACACCCTTCTTGGCTTGGCAACATTCAAGTATTGGGACCCGGTAAAACATAACCTTCCACGCGGAGGAACTTCTTCGTCAATGTTGGAAAAGAGCGGGAAATGATACGAAGACGGTCACTCAGCTTTACATCTCTCTGTGTTGGGCTGCAAAGCTCTCCGAAGTCGGCTTTGGGGGTGATGGAGTATCCGCTCGGGTCAAACACAATGCCATTGGCTGGTGAACGACAAGCCCTTGAGAATGTCCAAAGTATCCCGCTGGGCATGTTTCGTCACAGCTATGTGATATCCCGATAGAGGGCGCAGGCCCATCGCAGTGGTTGCATGTGGTACAATGCTCCGAAACCGTCAGGTTAGGGTAAGTCTTCTGAGTTTGGTGAATATGAGATGGCGGGCTCTCGACCGAGATAGTGACGCGGAGCGAGGAGGAATCCGTCACCCTTTCGGACATCAACGGTCGACCTGGTCCGGAGCGCTCCGCCTCCGCGAGGACCGCAGCTAATCTTCAGATGACAGCACCAGCAAGGTCAGGTGGACGAAGAAAACCGACTTGGTCAGGGCCAGCAATCAAGGTTCCTACCATGCCTGAAAGACACAAAGTCAGAGACGCTATTGAATGACTCAAATTCATAATCTCATTTCAGGGCCAACGCCCAGCCTACCCTCTGAACGCCATCTATCATGCCCAAGAGGTTGCTTGTGTACCCCGGAAGACGTCGAGAAATAACCACTAAAACAGGACTCCCAAGTTACGACGCGTTCGCGCTCACGTCGTTGAAAATCTTCTTCTTGATATCCATCGCAACCAGGCCTGTCTTCTCCTGCATGGCCACCGCGTTGGTATCCTTGACAAGCTTCTCGACCAAGCCGTCCACCTTCTTGCCGCCCGTGCCCATGGCGTTCATCGACGACGCACTCCGTCCTTGCCGAGAAACCTGCGTCGTGGCTTCCTTGATCTTGGAGGCGAGATCGAGCATCTGCTTGTTTCCGTAGTCGCGGTTCGTGAAGAGCGGGCTCTGGCTCAGCGTCTGCACCCAGTACTTGTGCCACAACAGCTCCAACAGGTGCGAGTCTAGCGTGCTCTTGAAATGTGACACCTCCAGACTGTAGTACTTGCTCGCGTGGGCGCCAAACTCCGCCGCCTTGGCCAGGGGGACCTCCTGCCAGCCGTCGCTCGTGACGCCGCCGCCGCCGCCGCTGCTGCTCTCCTTCTCCTTGACATAGTTCTCGGGGTACGTGCGGAAGGCGCCGATCTCGACCTTGCCGGCGTTGATCGTGCGGTCGGGGTCGATTACGACGGCGAGGAAGGGCTCCTGGAACTGCTGCTGCAGGGCCTGGGTGCTGACGTCGATGCCGGAGAGCCAGCAGCCGTAGCCCGGGTGGGAGTGGTACCAGCCGACGACGTTTTCCATGCGGCCCTGCTCGCGGCACAGGGTGAGGTAGTCGACCATGTACTCCTCGGCGTCGCCCTGGGCGTTGACGCGCGTCTCGGTTCCCTCGACGGGTAGTCGGAAGGCATCTGTGACGATGAAGGTGTCGCCGTTGACGTACCCTTGCATCAGCCCCATCACCTCGAGATTGCCGCCGGACCGGGCGTGCATGACCATCTTGATGAGCGCGACGGCGCTGATGCGGACGTTCTTGAAGTGGTTCGGGTTCTGGGCCCACGGGCGGGCGGCCATGGCTGTCTTCTGGGCATCGGTATCGAGGTCGTAGAGGGCGTCGCGTTTAGAGTCGACCAACTTGACGTTGTTGTCGAGCTCTGCGGGCGGCGGTTAGCATGAGACGGCGGGAGCAATGAATCGGGGAGTAATCAGACACAACTTACCCCACGACTTGAGAGCTGTCTCCATCTTGGCTGCTCGAATTGCGTGAGCAGGATGTGTTTGATGGAGTTGTCGATTGGAGAGAAAGGTTGAAGGTGGAAGGCGGCAACAGGTATCTTACCCCACCATTCAGGTGCCTGCCTCACGTCAAAGCTTATCTGTATCGATAAGATAAAGCTCTGGGCACCTGGAAGGTTCACTTATGTAATCCCCATCCCTGCGGAGAAAGTCCGGGGTTCTCATCCAAAGTGGGTCACTCCTCCATTCGTGTTGCGACCGGTGCGCAATTGAACTATCGACGACTTCACTTATCAACACCGCTAATGGCATCACGAACACAACCTCAAAACGCCAAGAGGCAAAGTTTCAACACAGAAGGCTTATCAGAGACAAGTCTTCTTATCACGTGATGGTTCAATGCTTGGCACCATCATCAGCGGGCAGTGCCTTTCGGGCGTCCCCGGACTTGAGGCCAGCGCCAACATGATTCGGCTCATCGCATTTCCAGGAAAAACTCAAACATCAGCGTGTTGTCGCGATAATAGCCATTCGGAGTACATTTTGACCTCTTGGCTCGGACTCTCAATCTTTGCTCTCGAAAAAGAAAGTCGATTCGAAGGACTTTTTGTGGGTGTCTGATGGGACCGCGCGGGCGGGAGATGGCCGAACGCCGTTCATCTTCCACGCGTCGCTCAGCGGGTCTTGCATCGAGATGATGAACGGTTCGATGCGACGCGCGGGGGGGAACGAAAATCACTTGGAAGAAGCGATCTTGGAGATATGTGAGAACCAGTATTGCCGGATTTGCGGTTTCCAAGACGGGAAAGACGCACAACCCTGGCAGATCACTGGGCGACTAGCAGCTCTTGGCTTCAGATCCTTGGGGGATCTGGATTTTGAGGCTTAAGCAAGAGTAGCGGTATTTGGCACCCCCCTGTCTGTTCTTCGGCACCCTCTTAAGCCTAATCGGGCATCTCTTATAGCGCTACTATATCTCACGAAGTTATACGTAGGCTAAGAGGTTAAGGCGTAGTTATATAATATTCTATTACCCTAGGAGATAAAGCGGTATAGTATTTTAATAGTAATATATTAAGCTATTACGTAATAAAAAAAACTTATATTATAACTAAAATATCTCTTTTTTATATTAATAAACCTCTTATATTATAGCTCTATAAGATCCTACCCTTAATAGCTTTATTAAAAAGGTCTACTAGTATTAATATAGTTTTAGTTATAATATAATTAAAATAAAAGCGAAAAAAAATATATATAGAGTTATAATCTAGTAAGACTTAGTATATAACTATAGTAAGTAACTAAAGCCCTTAAAAGTAATTAATAGAGACTTAAAGATATTAAAAATAGACTATAAGTAGTTAGAAAAGATTACTATAGTTAGGAATAAATATATATACTTTATTATTAATAATAAGTATAACTACCTTACTTTTAAGCTTAAGTACTTTATTATAAACTATAACTTCTATACTATAAGTAAGTATAAAATTAATAAAGAAGTAATTAGGGATAAAGTAAAGTCTCTCTTAAAAAGTAGTAAACTTACTTTAAAGGATATTACTACTTAAATTAAAGAGGACCTAAATATATTAATTTAAGAGTAAGATATTTAAAATATCTAAAAGTAGCTATAATAAGATAAGTATAACCTCCTCTTATTAACTTAGATCTTTTTATATAAGTTAGAGGGTAATAATAATATTTAGTATATTAAAGTTTATTATAATACTAAGATAAGTAAGATTAATATAGTATTCTAAATATATATATAGTACCTTAAGATATAGAAAAGAAATCTAAAGTTATTAATAATAAATAATATATATAAAGTTAGTAATAGTTTATAGTTAAATATAATAAAGAAAAGCTTACTAGAGGTAATAAATTAATTAATTTAATATATTATTATTCTAAATAAATAGTATAACTACTTTCTATATAATATTTAATATAGCTTTCTACTTAGTATTAAGTGAGGATATAGTTATATTTAAGTAGGTTCTATGTTAGCTATAAAAAACTATAATTATAAAAGAGATCCCTCTACTAAAAGTAATTTTAATAGATTTTAATAAAGCATTAAAAAAAGTAGTAAGAGTTATTTTTAAGGTAGTACTATAGTAAATTTACTTATAGTATATACTGAAAAATATAATATTAAATATTAAGCAAAAGTAGGATAGTATTCTAGAGGAAGAGTTAGTTATAATATTAAATCTATATAACACAGCCTTATAACCTTATAATAATACCTAAATTAATAATAAATCTAGTGAAATTAAAGCTTCTAATTAGCTTAATTTAACTAAAATAAAGCTAGAAAATTTTAGTAGCTTTAATCTTAAAGCTAATATTACGCTTAATTTAGCTAATAAAGCTTCTAGCACTACTACTACCTAAGTTATATATTAACTTATCCCTTTAGAATTTCTACCTAATAATAACTTTATACCTCTATAACTTACTAATAATAACTCTCCTCCTCTTATAATTATCTCTATTATTACTAATAATAACTATAAATATTCTACTAATAGATTTCTCTATACTTAGAAGTTATACTACTATATAGCTACTAAGGAAGTATTTAATAAGTATTAGGCTAAGTTCTACTAGTTTTTTAAAAACTAACTATAGCTTATTAACTACCTCTCTAAAACCTACTTTCCTTTTCGCTAGTAGTTTATAGAGTATATAGTGAAAAATCTACGTAATTATAGTATTAAAGTTATATTATATACTAAGTTAGCTTATATAGAGCTTAAGAGTTATTTATATAACTATTTCTCTAACCTCTATAAGTTTTATAAGGCTATTATTAATATAGTGAAGTATAAATAATACTACTACTATAATTATATTAGTAATAAGAAACTTCAGTTTAAGCCTATTTATTATAATATACCTATAATATAGAATCTAATATTTTAGGTTAGTTTTAAAGTACTTAATATAATTTAGGTATAATTTAAAGTAGTATAGAAGGTCTTCCTTAATAAATTATATATATAGCACCTCTTACGTTATATTAGCTCTTTTTTAAAGTAGTAAGAGCTACTTTATTACTATAACCTTTTTAACTACCTTAAGAGTTATAATACTAAGTATCTATTAATGTATAATAATACTAACTACTATTAGTAGCTAAATTAAACCTTAATTTATTTATATTTACTACCTTAATTAAAATAATAACTAATACTATATTTTTAGTTTAAGATTATTACTCTCTATAAGGTAATATATAAGCTTAACCTTAATGTTATTAGGAACTATATTAACTACTAATAGGTAGCACTAGTTATTAATAATAATAATACGCTTTTTAGTAGGCTTATATAGCCCTTTAAGAGCTTTAATCTACTAATAGTTATTAACCTTCACGATATATTAACACACTATAAGCCCTCTAGCTAAGAGCAAAATATAATACTAATACTTATACTATTAGTTATATTATTATTAACTATATTAACTATATAACTATAAAAAAAGTAAAAAATAGCTATAGAGAGGGCTAATAAAGCTCTTACTACTTAGTTATAAGTATTAATATAAGCCTTAGTTAATATATTAATTTAGTAGTAATTTAATTAAATTACCTCCTTATTTACTATATAGTAAGTACTACTACTATTAGTTTTTCACTACTTACTATTTTCTCTAATCCTTTAGCTTTTACTTCACTAAAACTATAGCTAATTATTACTTTAGCCTTAGTTTAAGTTAATATAGCTAAGTTAGTATTACTTAATACCTCTATAGCCTTTAAATTAATAGTAATACTATTAGTAATATATTTAGTAGGTGTTATTACTACTATTACTTCTAAGGTTTCTATAAGATAGTTTTAAGTAATTTAAGTAGTTTTAAAGCTACTTTAGCTACTTTAGTAGTTAATTAATAAATAAATAAAAACGTTATATAAGTTACTTTATATAATAATTATTCTAGTATAGCTTACTACTAACTTTTATTTATAGCTATAATGCCCTAAAAGATGCCTAATTAGGCTTAAGAGGGTGCTAAAGAACAGACAGGGGGGTGCCAAATACTGCTACTCCTCAAGCAAACGACAAACGTCATGGCATCTCCCGGATATCTTCATTCCCGAAATATTTCTGCGCACGCAATTAATTGCGTCGAACTCCGGTCCACATTCGATTACCATGCAACAGCCGCCACGCACACAACGCGGACTTTGTGCCGAATTCCGCTCAAACTGCAAAGTCACCCTCCCGCGACGACTCGCGAACGCGAGAGCGAAGGGATGTTCCCGGCCACGCCGCGTGGCACATCCGCGCCGGCTCCGAGAAAATGCTTTGACATCATCCCAAGGAAAGGGAGGGCGGCCACACTTTGAGGCGAAACGCAAAATTCGTCGCAACACTTCGGGGGTTCATGCAACCAGCAAACGTACGGATATGGGACTGCTGCGACGCTGCTGGCCTTGCGACTGGGCGGTTTCACCCTTCGACGACGCACAAACACAACCCACCAATCGCTCAGTCTTTCTCACACACGAACAGCGAAGAACACAAAGGCACGTTTTGGCACATTCAAAGCACATTAGGTACCGTCATTATTACTGTAAAGATGTTATGGAAAAGGAAACCGAAAAGAGCTGATCTAGTCTACACACAACACTGAGGCTAAAGGAAAAAGAAGATGCAATTCCCGAATCCGAACCCGCCACCGAGTCCGAGGGTGGCAATTTTGGATTTCTCTCCCTCTTCCTAAGGAAAAGGGATCTCGGACTCTAAAGTACAGGGTGACGGGGGGACGCCGAGACCGTCTGAATAGTCAAGGGCACGCCCCAATGGTCAGAGCAAATCGTAGTTGGCCCCTTGCCTGCCAAATGGGAAACCCCTTAGGCGGTGAACGCAACGGCATCACCAGCAGCGGACTCGTCGCGGCGGTTGCGGTTGGCCTTCTTGGTCTTCTTGCCGCGGTGGTGGGGCTCGCGGGCCTCAATGGCGTGGTCAGCAGCATCGTCGACGGAAGCCTCATCGCGGCGGTTGCGGTTAGCCTTCTTGGTCTTCTTGCCGCGGTGGTGAGGCTCGCGGGCCTCGATGTCACGAGCCTCCAGAGCCTCGTCAGTGGTGGCCTCGTCACGGCGGTTGCGGTTGGCCTTCTTGGTCTTCTTGCCGCGGTGGTGGGGCTCACGAGCCTCAATGGAGTGGTCGGCGGCGTCATCAACAGTAGCCTCGTCGCGACGGTTGCGGTTGGCCTTCTTGGTCTTCTTGCCACGGTGGTGGGGCTCGCGGGCCTCAATGTCGCGGGCCTCAAGAGCCTCGTCGGTGGAAGCCTCGTCACGACGGTTGCGGTTGGCCTTCTTGGTCTTCTTGCCGCGGTGGTGGGGCTCACGAGCCTCGATGTCACGAGCCTCAAGAGCCTCGTCGGTGGAAGCCTCGTCACGACGGTTGCGGTTGGCCTTCTTGGTCTTCTTGCCGCGGTGGTGGGGCTCACGAGCCTCGATGTCACGAGCCTCAAGAGCCTCATCAGTGCTGGCCTCATCGCGGCGGTTGCGGTTGGCCTTCTTGGTCTTCTTGCCACGGTGGTGGGGCTCACGGGCCTCGATGTCGCGGGCCTCGAGGGCGTCATCGTGGGCACCCTCATCACGGCGGTTGCGGTTGGCCTTCTTCGTCTTCTTGCCGCGGTGGTGGGGCTCGCGGGCCTCGATGTCACGCTCCTCTACGGCAGCGTGGTCGACAGCCTCGTCGATGGAGGCCTCATCACGACGGTTGCGGTTGGCCTTCTTGGTCTTCTTGCCACGGTGGTGAGGCTCAGGCTCACGAGCCTCAATGTCACGGGCCTCAAGGGCATCCTCGACGATGGACTCGTCACGGCGGTTGCGGTTGGCCTTCTTGGTCTTCTTGCCGCGGTGGTGAGGCTGTGGTAGGTTGTTAGAACATGGGAAAGCTTTTGACCATATATAGACAAGCGTCTTACCTCACGAGCCTCGATGTTAACGGCCTGGGGCGCGGCAACGGCAGGAATGGCAAGTGCCAAGGCGGGAGCCTTAATTAACTCATATTAGCGCACATGTCCCCCACTGTATAAACTCATGATGGTGTCCAACTCACTACCACGCGTCTGGCAACCTCGCCATTGGGGATGAGGTTGAGGGACTGAACGCCCTGGACGGCAAGGATGCTCGCCAAGAGGAAGTGGCCGAAGGAAGGGTAATGCATCTTGATGGAAAAGGAATGGTAAGGCTGACCGGCAGCGAATGACAGCAACTGAAATTACAGAAAGGAAGAGAATGAAAAGTCGCGTCAAGCGATTAGGGGCCAACTGTGGAATGAGGTGGTTGAATGGTCGGATGTTTGTGGGCTGATGAGCGGGTTTGAGTGATTTATATCTAGCTCAAGTCTTCTCTCTCGTCCTCCAGAATCACTCCTGTGCCTGACGGGGGGGAGTGGATGGATGTGACATGGCCCCCCCTTCCGGCAGATGTCGTCCCCCAAACCTCATCGCGAGTTGTACGTCGGGGCAGGGGTCGGGGCCCCAAGTTTAGACGAATTCCTTCGACTTCGAAGGCGTCAAACTGTGATCGTCCTGCTCTGCTAGACCAGAAACGTCTCAGAGTTCGAGTGAAAGGGTCTAGAGGGGGGTGGTTGGTCACGGAGTTGGGGCACTGGGGGAGGGAAGAGAGACGGGCAGGCAGGGTCACGGGCTATGACGGCTTGTTCTGCAGACACAATGGAGAGAGTTGCTCGGACTGGGCTAGCCGTAGAGACGGGACACCATTCAAAACTGCCCCAGGACCACGCCTGGTGATGTCGAGGATCGTTGGGTAGTGCGGGGATGGGGCGGTCTGGGTGGCTTGCTGGGATTCGAGCCGTTACCCGCGTCTCTGCGTATTCCAGCGGCATGCGCTCGCTTCAACAAGCATAATATCTTATTGGCGATAGGAATGACCCTGGTTGGGCCTCGCTTACAGTTTCAGTCTGCGAGGAAGTCGGGCTAGGGGTGTTTTGTGGAGGCGCCTCTTTCTCGTTTGGTGGTTTGGGAACTTGGCAACGAGGGAATGACAGGGCTCCCAGCCAGATCTGATGCTAAGCCTGATCGACAGGCCGTTACGGAAGGTGTTCACGACACCGGCGCGGTCAGGGCGAGGGAACCAGAGGTGAAGAGGAGAGGGATGAGTGACCACTGAGAGACGAGGTGGTGTTGGGAGTGGACAAATGCGGCATGCGAGATTGGCTACGGTTAGTGAGAGAGCCGCACAGGGGGGGCGGTCGTCGGTCACCCCTCTGATACAGCAGCAGTCCCAGGCTGCCAAGACAATGACACGCCGAAGGTGGAAAAGAACCCGACTCGCAAGGTGTGGAAAACGAAGTGTTCCACTCTGGCAGCAGCGGCAGCAGCAGCAGCAGCAGCAGAGCGAATGTGAGGTTGCGGCAACAAGATGCCGGGGCGGTGTTGAGCCGCAGTGCCGCCCACCACCCTGCGGCCCTGCGCTGCCTGCCTCATGGGTGTGGCCCGGGCGCTTTCCCAGTTGGTGCAAGTCTCTGGCTGAAGATGGGACAAATTTGGGGGTAGACTTTGGTTCCTGGCTGAAGTCGAGGCGGGCAAGGGTGTGTGGTTGTCTGTCATTCAACCTAAGTCAAAGTGGTGGAAAGGTGGGATCGAGGTTTGGTGTTACCGTGTTGATGGGGGACACTAGTAAGGGGGGGCTAAAATCTCCGCAAAGCCAAGGCAGGCCCTGTCACGTCCCAGCTCCGCGTTTCGCCAGGCCCCTGTTCTGAGACACCGCACCAACGCCTCAGCTTGGCCAAACACGGGGACCCAGGCAAGCCCAGCCAGCCAGCCAGTCAGGCGAACGCACAGCTGAAGACGCCCTGCTGCGAGTGTGCAAGATTGGCTGCTTCAGTGCTTCTGCTGCTGCTGCTGCTGGCGCTGTTGTTCCCGCTGCTGCAGAACAAGACTCGCGCGAGATGCAACATCAACCTGGACCACCACCACCATCTCCACCTCCGTCACAATGGAGGACATCCCTCCATTCCCTCCATTGCATCCCTCACCCATGGATTGATTAGTTATCCCTTCTTTTCCCCCGACCTGTCGAGGCCCATCCATGATTGGACGAGCGATCCCGTTTTTCCCGCCCCGGCTGCGACGGCGCTGTAGTCCGCTCTGTGTCGTCTATTCTTGCTTTGGATGAAAGGTCACAATGGCCCGTCCGCAACTTCGCAACGAAGATCAAACAGCCCAAACGTTTCTGATGGCTGGATGACTTGCCCAGTGGCTGGCCCCGGTGGCTGTCGACATTACCCAGAAGCGGTGCGGACGGCGACTTTCTTGCCCAATTTTTCACTGTTAGCCTGTTCCCCCTGACGTTGACTTGACATGACAGCGTAAGCGAGGCCCAGGAGAGAAACAGCCGAACACAGTGAGAGACTCAGAGAGAGGCAGAGAGCCAAACCTGGAAGTGCCAATCTCGCGTCCTACTCTACCTTGTCTACATCACGCCTCTGCTATTGCTGCAAGTTCCAGCAACACCAAACACGGTCCATTGCAGACAAGCGCCCTTCGCCCCCCATCGATGGTTGACGGTCTGTGATCTCCCATCATTCTGGTAATCCGATTTTCGTGCCCGAAGCGGATCGTCTTGGCACTCGTCTCTTCTTACCTTCAGCGAAAGCACGCCGAGCGTCCCCCCTCGCCTAGCCTACTCTCTCTTCCTCTTTCTCTCCGTACCTCTCAATTCTTATCGTTTTGTTTGGTCATTCACTTCTCACTTCCCAAATCTCAACACCAAACAAACATCCTATCGTTGGGATTGATTTGTTGCGTGTCGTTACTTTCATTCTCTTCCCTAATTAGCACCTGGCGTGCGAGGACTTCTTTCACATAGTTACATTTTTGTTGTTGTCGTTTTCTTCTTTTTCTCTCTGCTTTTCTTTCAAACCAACTTAATCATGTCCGAAAAGATCTACCGAGAAGTGCCGCACGAGGAGGAGGAGGTCGAGAGCCTGGCCGGGAGCCTCAACACGGAGAACACGGAAAACACGGACCGGCCGGCGTCGACTTCGAGATGGAGGCGGATGAGGGTCGGCGATGAGATGCCGTGCAAAGAGAAGGCGCGTCTGCTCGTCGCGAGGTACTGGCCGTGGGCGGTCCACGGCCTGCTGCTGACGACGTCGATTACGTTCTTCGCGCTGGCGTTCTGCCTACGTTTCGGCAACAAGATCGACGACCAATACTTTGTCAAGAAGTACTCGTCATACTGTATGTCTTCTCCGTCATCAAGACATGTTTTGATTGAGGAGGAAGCTGACCCGAAAACACAGCCCCCGCCGCGGAAGTGGTCAAGTATCACAGCGAGAGGTGGAAGCTGCTCCCCATCATGGACTTCTCGCCGTTTGTTGGAGCCGGGTGGGAGGTTGACCGTGCATGGGACCACATCACCAACAATGGTAAGGCTTTCTAATGTAAAAGATGCATCGGCAGCTTCGCGATGACTGACTGGACTGCAGTTGGCGACCAGATGATCTCTCACGCAGAGCTCGTCAAGCTCGGCCTCGACCCCAAGTCCATCAAGATCACCAACCCCATCACGGGCGAGGAGGGATACCGCGCTGGCCTTGAGGTCTTCCACCAACTCCACTGCCTCAACCTCCTCCGCCAGTCGTCGTACCCCGAGTACTACAACAGAACCGAGGTTGGCGGCGACGTTCCCACCGACGCGGAGGACCTTCGCGGCCACATCGGTATGTTCATGAAACCCCGTATAATTCATCATCATCACTTAACTAACGCATCTCTACAGACCACTGCATCGAGGCCATCCGCATGAAACTCATGTGCGAGTCCGACATTGGCGTCTTCACCTTCAAGATGTACCCCGAGCTCCCCGTCGAGGGCCACTGGCCCGACTTCAGCACCCTGCACACCTGCCGCAACTTCGACGACATCCGCAACTGGGCCATGATTCATTCGGTGACGTTTGAGGATGAGGAATAGAGTTTTCGCTCTGCAGGCGGAAAAGGGCAGGCAAGACACATCCCGTGCGGAGGGAGGGATCCCCTTGATGGTTGGGTTGGCTTTGGTAGAGAAACACAAAAACGTTAAAATACATACATACAGCACATGAGCAGAGCGCGGCGTTGCATACAACTCAAAAAATAAAGCCTCAGCAAAGTTCATACGTCCAGCGCCGTAGGGCGCAGCGCGCGTACACACATGTGAGCGGGAAAGACGGAAGTTTCTTGGCTTCTGTCATATCGCGGGCCATATAAACTCAAGCTTGAGTTATGCTTTTCGGCATGAGAGGCCGACGATCAAATTCAATCTAGTAATCTCATCTTTCGGGGTCGAGGAGGAATTTGCTTCAGTCGAGGCCCTCAATAAGCTGTGATCCGGGCTCGCCTTCCAATCCACCAGCGCCAGCTGGTACCGACTGGACTCCCATCCAGTACCCGCCCTGATGGTCTAGCGGTATGATTCTCCCTTAGGGTTATCTTCGATAATCACGTCTGGGAGAGGTCCCAGGTTCGATCCCTGGTTAGGGCCCAATTCCTTTTTGGCGTCATATCGGAAGTTTTCTCGGCCGTCAGTGCAAGTTCGAGGCAGGCTGTTTGGTTTCGTTTTGCCTCACCTGTCAAAAATGCATCTAGAAACACCAGCGAATAACGGGCGGGAGGTGTGTCTGCTGACAGGGGCACTTATGCGCGATGCGGGTGCACGACTTAATTGAAGCCCGGTGCCTGTCTCGCCCTGGCCCTCCTCCTTTTTGTCTTTCCTACTTCAATAAACCCTTCCTCCCCCTCGCAAGTCCGCATGCTTTTGCAGCATCCTTGCATGGAACAAGGCCAACCCGGGCGCGCCACGACGAGACGAAATACTTCAGGGTTCCATGGGACGGAAGAAAATTCCCGAGGCCAGCATGTCTTGCTCGTTTTGAATCCTTCTTTTGTTCCGCGGAGCTTGCGCTGGCTTGGCGGATCGCGCATTCCGTGGAACGAGTTCGCGCGGTATGCGAGATAAGCTTCTTTCGTGAATCGTGCTCTCAGAGTTTGGCTAGCATACTTACATTACTACTTACAGCCATCTGCCGCCCGTTGGATCGCGCGGAACAATCGCGTGGAACATGGGGCCTAACTGTCCGTCACTGTCATCCCAGTGTCTTTCCATCTCGCAAGCTTTTGACTCGCATCGCCCACGAGAGCGCGCCCGTTCAACCCAGCCGGGCGGGATTGCCGTAAACGCGGGGGATGCTCCTCACGAAGTCAAGCACGGAAAAGGCGCGGCGGTCGGAAAGAAACATTGATTGATAATCGTTAAAACTTTAGATTGATTTTGTTTGTCTATCGACCCCTAACCACGGGGTTTTACTGTATCCAGGGGTATCTCTTCCTCTCCTTCCTCTCTCTGTGTCTATCACTCTTTAATCCACATGAATCCATTACAACAACACAAAACTAGGCCGCGCTCGCCAAACTAAATCCAAAACCGCATATATCATTTTTTGTCCGGTGGATGGCGAAGATGCCGGCCTAGACATCCTCGACGTCCTTCTTGGTCACGATGCCGAGCTGCTTGTTCATGATCTCGTCCGGGTCGCCGGCGCCGGCGTCCAGGACCTCGAGGTTGCCCTGGGCGTCCTTGGTGCCGGTGCGGTAGCCCGAGTGGCTGCCGAAGACGTACCAGACGTAGCCGGCGAGCAGGGCGGTGGTGGCGAGGAAGGCGAAGATGGTCCAGTTGCCCATGCTGTACATGGGGGAGTCGGTGCTGGGGAAGAGGAAGGGGGCGGAGATGCCGCCCGTGTTGGCGATGGCGATCATGCCTCCCGTCGCGAGGGCGGTGGCGGTGGAACCTTGAACGGTTGCGGTGCGGTGCTATTTTTCATATTAGCTTCTGACAATCTTGATTATTGACATGTTTCGTGGGCTAAACTTACAGCAACGAAGGGGAGGACGGCGGCGTTGGTGCAGGCGATGATGCACACCGCAAAGTAGCGCACACCCCAGTGCTTCACGATGGCGAGGAGCAGGTATCCGATGGAGACGAAGATGAGGGCGCCGATGACGTGGCGGGAGCGCTCCTTGGTCTTGTCGCTGTGCAGGCAGTTGCCGATGATAATGAACATGGCGAAGACGTTGGGCGGGACGGTGAGCAGCTGGGCGTTGTACCCCTTGAAGCCGAGCGAGGAGACGATCGTGGGCGCGAAGTAGCCGAAGGCGTTGAGCGAGTTGGTCATGAGGAAGTACATGACGGCGAAGAGCCAGAAGAAGGGGTCGGCGAGGGTGGACTTTGCGACCTTGCTGTCCCAGTGCTTGTCGCTCATGGAGGGCGCGTAGGGGCCGAGGCGCTTGACGGCGAAGGCGCGCTCCTCGGGGGTGAGCCAGGCGGCGGTCTGCGGGTAGTCGGGCAGCATGAACCAGACCATGACGCCGACAATGACGGCGGGGATGCCCTCGAGGATGAAGAGCCACTGCCAGCCGGTGAGGCCGCCCTTCTTGTTGAGGAAGGAGATGCCCGTGGCGAGGAGGCCGCCGAAGGCGCCGGCGACGGCGACGGAGGAGGCGAAGATGGCCATGCGGGTCGCGCGCTCTTCGGGTTTGTACCAGAAGCAGAGGTACATCATGATACCCGGGAAGAAGCCGGCCTCGGCGAGGCCGAGCATGATGCGGACGGCGAGGAGGCCGCCGTAGGTCGTGCAGGCGGCGGTGCAGATGGTGACGATGCCCCAGGAGACCATGATGCGGGAGATCCACTTGGAGGGGGAGAAGTACTTGAGCATGATGTTGGAGGGGAACTCCATGAGAACGTAGGGGACGAAGAAGAGCGCGACGGCGACGTTGTAGCGGGAGCCGGTGAGGTTGAGCATCGTGACGATGTTGTCTTCGGGGGTGTCGTTGTTGAGTGTGCGGGCGTTACCGAGGTTGACGCGGTCGAGGTAGTCTAGATGGTGTCAGTTGATTGGCCTAGGTCTGGGAGACTTTCTGGGGGGTTGATGGACATACTCAGGAGGTATGTGATGCAAATCCAGGGGAGGATGCGGAGATCCTGCTTCCTGACGATGCGCTTCTCCATCTCCTTGTCGGCGAGGTCGACAGTCTCCAGGCCGGGCACGTCCAGGGACGGCGCCGGGGAGAACATTGCTTTCCAGTCAACCATCTTGGCGGATGATACGGAAGGTGCTGCTTGTCGAAAGTTCGGTGAGGTCGCGGTGAGGGTTGTCGATCTAGTTAAAGGATTGGGCCCTGAGAGTTGAGTCAGGGGTTGATCTATAGTCGACGACCAGTGGACCTTGTCGAACCCGTTGTGATGACGGCTAATTGTCGAAGTTGTTGATGACTTGCAGTTCATCCAGAAACCATCAACCCGTGGGCAGAGGGAGTCGAGAGGTTGTTATAAGTTGACAACCCCTGACAGTTCCGCGTGGATGGTACGATCCATTCCGACATCCGCCCGCGAAGTTCTCCATAATAGTGCGTATCCCACCCCGCGAGCTATCTGTTTTAGAAACTGCATTTGTACAACCAAAATGTCTTCTCTTCCCTGTGGTGGTGGCTCTTTTCCTTATCTCTGTCTCTGCAAGTCATTGACAGAGTTCGGGGGTTCTCTCCGCCGCCTAGAGAATGATGAAGCGCTTGGGCGAAGTCAATTGGTAAATGCCGGCGGGGGAGATAACGCATTCGCCAATCAGATGCCGCGCACTACTCTAGATAAGGTCAAGTCTGGGCAAAAAAAAGTTGTCAGTTCCGGGGACGACCCCGGACTCGGGAGGGAGAACCATTTCCCAGGCCTGAGATTGAGCGCTTGTCCTGACATGTCAATAGTCTTCTTCTCGGCCTGCGTCCGGTCCTCGGGCAAGCTAACTGAAAATTTGCGAACAAAGAAGGCGAATGGCGGCAACACACATGCCACAAATGTGAGAACATGAGAACAGATGCATCTAGAAGCCCTGTCAGATATGCCGCATTTCCGTGGCGGTCAGGCCGAATTAGACGCATCTCAGAGGGCCAATTCCTACTTCTGCGGCTGTCAGCCTGTCGCTTGCCAAGTCTGCAGATGCAAAGACATGAGGATATTATTCAAGACTTCTCCGTGGGTCTCCGGGACAGTGGACTTAGATCGAAAGGGGGGCCGTTCGTGCATGATGCAGCGCAGCAAGCGGAGTGCAGCATCTCATTGCTTCGGGAGACCACGCTCTTCCTTATCGCCGGATCCATAGAGAGGCTTAGGGTTGTCCCTTGTTAAAGGGCTCCTTTCTTCGGATATTCGTTCCAGCTGCTGTGCCTCTTTCTCGAGCTCTCGATATTACACCCGCGGAGGGAGGCCGCATACAAGAAATCCTGTTCGTCTCATCTCGTTGACGTCGGGGTTGCTGACTCGCGCACCAAGGAACCGGCGGTTTGGCGCTCGGTGATGGCTGCTGATAACGGCCTGCTGGCGTGGCGTGGGAGAAGCGGCGTTCTCGCGACGCCTCTTTGGTGGCAATTGCAAGCGGTTCCTTGAATCGTCCTAGGTATTACTCGCCGGACGACTATTACACGAAGCGATTTGATCAAGATGGGCCCATCTACGCGTACTATGTGCCAACCCCCGTTCCCCGCCACCGGGCTCCATTCACACGTGAGAGCCACGGTTCACCTAACCCATGATGACATGAGTTCCTTGGTGAATAAGGCATTCAGGTAAGCAAACCTCTATGAGAATGATCGAAAGAAAGGCGACGCATGCTCTGGATTATCGCTTACAAAAGCGAAAAAGACCTGGTCTTGCGTCTGCCGAGATGTCTAGGCATCACCGACAGCGCGGGATGTGGCGCCATGTCGTCTCCGTACTTCGGCATGCTGCTGTCTGATCTGGGAGTCTGAGGGATATGATGACGATAGAGCTTTACTTTACACTATTGAAGATGAGTTGTAAGACGAATGCGATATCAGAGACCCGAAGAGAGGGCCCCAGGGCAATGGCCCGATGGGCGGCGCGCGAGACACAGACACATGCGCGCGACGCCCGCCGGCGGCCTTATTCTAAGTGGCTGCAGCCCTAGGCCCGCTGCCCGGCGGGCATGAGTGGGTCCGCCCTGAGCCGATCGGCAAAGATGCAGCGGAGAGAAGGAGTTCCAGCTCTTTGCAGGTCTCTCTTTACGGACCAGGCACCCGTAAGCATCATTTCAGCCGTTGACAACTCGTGTTAAGTTAATTATCAAGGGAGTTTCCGGAAGTTCGGAAGCTAACCACTGTAATTGTCCTGCACCTTTCAACTTTGATGATCATCGGCGACGTTTGAGATTCATCACTCGTAGCCGAGGCCGCCAAACACAGCCGGAAAGAACACATCATGTCTTACCGACATCGGCCTACAGCTATGATTGACAACGTTGTCAGCATCTTTTCTTTCCATCTCTTTGGCTGAACAAGTTCTCTCCTTTCTCTTCTTGTCTTCTTTTCTTTTTTGAAATATTGGGGATCTTCAACAGTTGTTATTTCCTAACTAATATGACCCAGGTTTAGGTTCTAGACAGGCTGCAATCAGCGTCCAGCAGCACATATTCTTTTCTTCATAGTTAGGTTAACTATAAAATTTCATTTCGCTCCTGCCTTGAATCTATAAGTGCAATTCTGACTTAGTTGTTTTTCTCCGATACTTGCAGATATTGAATTTGCGGGCTGTTTGCACACTGTGAGGCGATAGCTACATCAGTGATGCCTATGTTCTTGGAAGCTAACTCCAGTGATGCAAATTCGTTGCATGCCAATCCTAACATGCTATTCATCCTTCTGTGGTCGTCCAATCGAGACAGGTGGCCCCTCCTCACGCATCACTCTATTTCCTTCCCAGTAAGACTATCAGAGGTTGTCAATGTCAACAGCCAAGTTCTCCCGTCTCCTGAAAGAAACCTTCAGGCCATCTCCAGAAGAAAGACTGATTCCGAACTCCCTAATCGTGTGCTCGTACGGACCGTCAATCTTCCAGTCGTACTTGTACAGCAAGTGGCATAGAAGAACCTTAACTTCGTTCGAGGCAAAGAACCTTCCAGGGCAAGCATGCTTCCCATGGCCGAAGCCCAGATGTATCGACGAGGTACTTACGAGGTGGGCTTTGCTCTCGAGCTTTGGGTCTTCACGCATGCGCAAGTACCGATACCCGTCAAAAACCTCTGGGTTCTCATAGACTTCAGGATCCACCATGGAACCGAGGTCTGCCATGCAGCGGTCACCCTTCTCAAGAACCAGGCCGCTGGGAAGCATGACGCGCTTTATAGCTGTCCGGTTCATTGTCGCTTTGGGTCGTTAGTATTAGAGAGCTCATTACATGCTAAGAGCTAACTTACCTGAGGTCGTAGGCTTCAGCCTTTGCGCTTCCTTGAGAACGCTATCGAGTAGCTTCATCTGGAAAAGAGCCGTCTTGGTCCAGCCCTCCTTCACCAGCACACTTTCAATCTCTTCGCGTAGATCCTGTATCAGCTGCGGGCGTTGAATGAGCCGGCACATAGTCTCCGTCGCCAGATCTGTCGTGGTGTGCATCGCGACGACAGAGAACCCGAGCTGGGCTCCAACAGGGTCGTAAGAGCTCCCCTTACTTTCTTCCTCGACCCACTGCATTACATCGTTATACACTGGCGCAGGCTTCCCGTTTGTCTCAGCGATTCGTCGTTCATCTCGTCGCTTTTGCAGGATTGGCGTCATTAGTTTCCGAGCATCAGCGACTTGCTTCCTCAGCAGCTGACATTCGGGAATGAAGTAGCATGCGGCATGTCTGAGAAAATGAGGGTATTGGCGCAGTAATTCTCCACAAAGAAAGATGTTGATGCTGTAGGACTTGGAGATGTCGAGCCATTGTTGATTCCGGCAAAGCTCTTCTCCGAGGAAAACACGCGAGGACAAGCGGGCGACGAGTTCCAATGTGGCATCCTTGAGCAGGATCTTCTGCCATTCTTTTCACATTTAGCTCAAGGATATGGCCTTGATTTCAAGAGCAGACCTACTGTTTGATTTTCCAAGGACGAGATTGGTCGCGAAATTCGCCTCTGCCGCCAATGGCGAAGTAATCTGGTCTAGTGCAATGTTTTAGATCAGTATTGCTGAACACGGGGGCTATGGCTTACTCAGAAGTTTTGTGAGTCTCTTGTTGATGGTTCTATGAAGAAGCTCGTCCGGGCGGCCGTCGAACGCGAAGCCTTCGAAGCCGGGCAACGAAGGATGAAAGTTGTCGATGAAAGCCGTCATGAAGCTCAGGCCCGGCTCATTCCGGAAATCATCAATGTACTTGGAGGGAAGCACGACAAGCTCGCCGAGGTCAGTGAACATCCTGTATGGTTTCCCCTGGAAGAGCTTGCGCCCGCTCTTCATGAGCTTTCCAGCGTTGGAGGTGAAGTGTTTCTTCGTCTTTTGGCCAAAAAGGTCCAATACGGGAGGGGGGTTGATGTAGGGGATGTCATCGTGCCGACGTGGTATAAGTTTGAACAGGAGAAGAAGAGGGAGAAGGGTAGCGACGACACATGAACCCAATAGCAATGGTTCTGTGACGGAGTATTTGGTAGATGGAAGCAGCATTGTCTGATCTAGCTTCTTAAGCGTGAACGATTGGCAAAGCAAAAACCTTGATTGGCAGACAACATTTCACATGTATTTAAGAAAAGCATCGGCATTCTCGACGGATTCCGAGGTATCAGGAAACATCTAGATGTGAATGGGTATGGCTGGTGCGGGTCTCCGCTTTCATGCTCCATATTCTGAAAAGGGAAATTTTCCCAACCCGCACTAAGAAAATGGGCAAGGGTTGATGTGGGATGAGGGATAACACGAGATCTCCAGAAGCCAGCGTCTATGAATCACTTCCAAGCTTTTCAATGGTCAAGATCCTCCAAGATATTCATACAGCAACGATGCCAGTTTCATACATATTGGCAAGTTCCCGGAGAACCCAGCCGATCCGCGGTGCAACTGTGACGTCTTCAGTCAGGTATCTGAAGCTGATCCTGTAGCATTGCATTCTTACCTCCCCAAACCCACGTGTCGTCGTAGATACTTGCCCACATACGGGCCAGCTCTGCTGCTAGCGATGATTGCTCAGACCTATGGCTCTCAACTTCGTTCAAGAGCTGCCTGACGCTGTCCAAGACCTGCTTTTCCTCGGGTGTGACAGATTCGTTCGTCCGATATGAGCATTCAACAGCGTATAACCATTTCGTAACAAGTAGACCTGATCACGTTCAGCGCAATTCAGGTTGAAGTGAAATTCCGACAATACCGGCATCCCAGCTTGCTAAGGCGTGTTCCACACTCCATTTGAACGCAGCCGTCTTTCGCATGAGCAGAATACCCGCTCGTATTGGTATGGCGAATCCCTCAAGAGCACAGCTGACTGCCATGGTCATGAAGGGGTCTCGATCTTGTACAGCTTCGAAATAGCGTCTCAAGATTGACAGCATGACCTGGCTACTCTCCTTGAACAGTAGAGAGCGATCTAGAGAGTGGAATCTGATGAATGCCCTCCCGTATGAGACGCGTAATATGGCAAATGCATTGAACAGCAGGGGGCTTTCGGCTTCATTCCATGTACCTTCGGTACCAGTTTGCGCGTCTGCAACTCCTGCAAGCAAATCTCGACATCTAGAGAGAGCCGCGGCAATTTGACTTGCGTCATGTCTTTCCTTTGAGTTACGAATGGCGCTGTGGCATACTTGCTGCCCTTGTGTAAGGTACCAGATAGCGATAGCAACGCTGTGCATAACCACCGAGGCAGCGAACGGCGACCACTCCCAACAGACATCTGACTTATTTTCAAGAGGCGTCTGACCGAATATGGCGGAAGTTGCCTCGCGAAGACCTAGATGGGATGACAGCGGTTTATTTGCTGTTAGAGTTTCCCAGTCAGAGGCCGTCTTTGCTTCCCACAGGGCATCATCGGCAGGTATGCCAATGTCGGCATCCTCGAGGATAGAAAAGCCCGGGACCATCCCGTACGTAATCACAAGTAAGTTCCCAAGAATCATGCTGCTGCACATCAAGCTTCATAATGTCAACTCATCGGCACAGGGCTTGGAACATGGACAAAATCCCTACCGCTTTGTTGACTCATGTTCAACCCAGGTTCGCCAGTCCGATAGTTCTGTGGCTGTGGAAACAGGCCTCATTCGTGACATTCTTGACCGGAATTCCTATTACGTTGAGCACAAAACCGAGGGATATTTCGGAAGACACGAGAAGCACTTACGGCGGACAGGAACCCGCAACCAACCAGAGCCTGTCGTATGAGCTGCGGCTCTCCGCTAAAAGAAGCAAAGAATACGAGTAGCAAGCGGGCTTGAGCCAGCGGAAGTGGCGCGGATGCCGACGTTGGCATATCTCTCGGCTTTGCCCAGTCTTGTAGCAATGCCGAGCAGTTGCGTAGGGTATCAAACTCCACGATGGACAGAATTGACTCAGCTGTCAGATAAAGCGACGCAGCGAGCTTCCTGTCAAGCCTGTGCAGTGCACCTATTGCACATATACTCAGTGTCAGAGGGCTTGGAGCCGTCTTGAGGCTGAGCGTTGGGAGGTGTAGAAAAGGGAAGTGAACGTGGAATGATTCGACATAGGAGTTCAGACACTTCTGCAAGCAGGCCGTATCAGGCATTTGGAAGTCCCCAAGTCGCTCGGGTGTAAGATGCGATCTCAGATCATTGACGCAGTGTGCCCTCATTTCCTCAGTGAAGATCATGCTTGGTTTCGCCGTGGCTCTTGTCCTTGATATCCGCGGCAAGCAATGTTCCTTTTTCGGCGTTTGTGGGGGTACGGGAGTCTCTCCCGAAGCAAGCGAAGGCTCAAGGTACGCATCCTCCATATTCATCCCTATCCCAGACTGATCGAAAGTTGGGAGAGCAAAGGAATCAAAAACATCGCCGAGGAAAGGATCGAAGAAACTAGGTGACAAATCATTGTAAGTATCAAAATTGACATCTTGTATGCCAAAGGAGCCGAAGTCAGTCGCTGTGACCTACGCGGTAGTCGTCTCAATCACCGATGTTGACGCTGAGTTGTCCGGGACGTTGGTGATCGCGACATCGGTCCGTGTTTCTTCATTGGTGGCGGCAGCCGAATCGTCCATCAACCCATGTTCGTCCCTTCCTTCGGAGGCTGAACTTTGCGCGAGGTCACGGCTGACTGGCTGCCATTGGTCCGCATGGAGAGTTTTCTCATGGCGTGTCACGAGGTCACTAGGTAGTATGAATGAGTATATCTGGGATAGGCACATTCATGAGTTCAATTATAATACCTGCGAGCATACCGACGGCCACAAAATCGGCATATGTGGGGCTTTTCGTGAGTGTCTGCGCCCGCAGTCAGTGCTGTGCTGAAGCCAAAGTGCATCATCAAACTGTCACGCAAATGAATAACTGACGGCTGCGCTCATGGCGATTTCGATGTTCTCGCCTTTTGAAAGGCTTGAAACAAACGCGGCACTTGTGTACCACGGTGCCTTCTTTAGCGAATGAGATGACCGACGTTCCAGGCGCTGTCTTGGATGTCATCGCTTCAGATGACAGTCGGTGGCTGGGTGCTGAATAAGACGAACAGGCAAGAGGAGGTTTTCAATGGAAGGCAAAAAAGGATAAGGAAGAGCATCCAATTCCTGTGGTGAGCACCATGTGCATGTAAACCCGGTTCAACCCCCACAAACAGGATTTAAATTCCCGTGACGGCCCGCGACGGAGATTGACAAGTATCCGAGGGCGACGGCATCGGACTTTTATTTATGGGACCATCGCAGCGATCATGCGGGGTTCCAGGGTAGCTGTAGTCCACTAACTAATGCAGTACGACTGAAAACTAATTTTGGTCCGGCAACTAATATAGCTCCCGACGGGATACTTGCAGATTTTTGTTGGCGAGATCATGTGCAACTTTCATGAGAATTGCACCCGCTCCAATGTTGAGCAACAACCTCCTAGACAATCTTGCAGCGTCTCTTGTCTTCTTTGTAAGGGGCAGGTTGGACGATCTGTATGCAAATGTGTGACAACCAAATACACCAGAACACATTATGAACAAACTTACAGCTTTGATGATCTTCTGCTTCGAGCCTTCGCTACCCCATTTCACCGATACTTCTGTTCCCGGCGAAGCATGCTCTTTGAGTACTATGCCGAGAGAAATCATCTCCTTAAACCAGTAGCTGTAACACCGAGAAACAGCATATCCGATGGTCTGGCTTCCAACCGACACGGAGCTACCAACAACATTGCCGAGCAGGTTACGAGGCATTTCCATATACTCATACGGCTCGGGACGGAATAAAGATGCGAAGACGTCAGCAACGTCGTCCTTGTCCCAGACAAGTGTCACCAACTTCCGCGGAGGGTCGGCTTTCAGCTTGGCCAGCGCGTCGCGCCCGATAAAGTCGTGATCGAGATTCACAAGCCAACCCCAATTCAGATCGAATGGGGTATTGTGATACAGCACGGGATCGGTCCCATAGCTACCGCTGGCCTTGGATACGTGTAGGTCAAAGTCGAAGCCAATCGACTTGGCATATCGTCGAAACTCGACGAGCTCCTTGTTGCTTGAGGGCGCGTGGACGGCTGGGATGAAGTCGGCGGCCGGCGTCGCAAACGCTGCTTCAACCTGCGATGGCAAACAGTGTCAAAAAAGGCATTCGAGAGTTTCAGATGAGAGATCAAAGTGATTGCTTACATGGTTCACCATCTTGGTACGAGCACCGAGTTGGCGGAGGTTGTGTGGCTTGCCAGCATCTACGATGGAGCTGTAAATCTTCCGAGCGTCTTTCCCAGGGCCCCAAAGCTCGAACCCTAGTTCGCCCGAAACGCCTTGTCGCAAGCATAGGAACTTCGTGCCGTTTATGGAGAGCTCCTTGTAGTGCATGAACTCAATGTCTTGAACCCCCTCAGCCGTGACCTCATTGAGAAGTTTTGCGCTTCGAGGACCTTGAACTTGGAGGAGGAACCAATCATTGGTGACCAGCTCAAGCGTAGCATCGAACTTCTTCTTTCCGAATTGGAACTGATACGCCAGCCAAACGGTGCCAGGCCCGCTGGTGAAGATGAAGTCATCCTTCCCGAGCATGAGGACAAGGCCTTCACCGACCACGCAGCCGTTGTCTTGGCAGAAGATAGCATGCTTCGCCTGTCCCGGCTTGAAGTTGGGCCACCGATTGGTAGAGATGAATTCGAAGAAGGCCTGGGCCTCTGGACCTTTGACGCGGGCTTTCAGCAGCGGCGACCAATCTCCGATGTAGCAGTCCGTTTTCCAGGAGACGCTCTCGTCGATCCAGCCTGAATATTCATAGGCTTCGAAGGTAGGGCCGAAGCGGGACCAGGTGTTGACGGTAGGGTCGATGGGCACGGCTGGTGCTAGTGGAACGTGATGCTTCGCATGCCCATCGTCAAACCAGCGTTGATCTGCGCTCTCGTTTGGGACTTGGGAGTTTGAATGAGACATGTTGAAAGAGGGGCAAAACGTTGACTACTTGCTAGTCGAACTTGAACAGACAATAGGAAGGACATACATCGATCATATGTATCTATAATCCTGTCGTGGACTCTCACCTAAACCCGTTTCCATATGACATCACGACTGCATTGATTCCTTCATCAAGATGGAGTTTCGGGAATCCGTTTGTCCAGCGGCATCATGATGTGGGCTGGTCAGAATGTCCTAATCAGGCAATGTGGGATGGTGGGACAGATGCCGTGTGGGGTATGTGGGATGTCTTGGTAGGAGTACCAAGACGCCCACCTTGCTGCAGCCCAGGTTTCGGCAGCGAGTCCACAACATGATGCCAGAATTTTTATGAACGTCCCTCAGCATAGTGCTTACCCGAGAAGTCGCATTAAAGTCAATAGATGTAGCCATGCGGCGAGTAGTCATGGAGTAGCCTAGATAAAAGATGCGTGATGCCTGACACCGAGGCACTGAGGGTCCTGAGCCAGCCTCCTAGTAGCTCACGTATGTATTCAGCAATTTAACCCCGTTACAATCGAACTTGAATTCATTCTTGGTATGCCTCGGCCGTTCGCCATCATCGTGGGTGCAGGCCCCTGTGGTCTCTTACTGGCCCTCCTCCTCGCCAAAGCCGGGCTGGAGGTACAGCTCGTCGACGCCGGCAACGAACTCGACGACCAACCCCGAGCAACTCATTATGGCCCAGAGGCTGTAGAACAGCTAGACAGAGCAGGTGTTCTTCCGGACGTTCTTGCGCAGGGTTTCATCCCTCACGGCGTTGCCTGGAGAAAGCCGGATGGGGAGGTCATCGCCGAGCTGCCAACAACCACCTTGTCAACTTCTTCGAAGCATCCCTTGATCTGCTTGCCGCTGAACAAACTAGGCAAGATCTTGCATGATCATTTACTGAAGCAGCCCCAAGCCAGTATCCTTTGGGGTCATCGGGTGACGCATGTAAGGCAGGACGATGACCAAGCCATCGTGGAGGTGGACGCTCAGGGCACTTCAAAAACGCTGGCGGCGACTTATGTCATTGGCTGCGATGGCGCCAACAGCCAAGTCCGGAAATCGCTCTTTGGCGATATGGAGTTCCCGGGATGGACTTGGGATGAGCAAATTGTTGCAACGAATGTCAGTGAAAGAGCATGCGCTGTCGCTTTGTCTATGCGCTAATCACTCGACGTTCCCTAGATTTACTATCCCTTTGACAAACACGGCTTCACAGACAGCAACTTTGTAATCAGCCGAGAGCACTGGTATGGCCGATAGACCCTTTTACAACTGCCTGAGTTTGGCTGATCATGATTGTAGGTACATGGCAGCGAGGATCTCCAACGATGGCCTGTGGCGAGTCACGTACGGGGAAGTGCCAGGACTCACCAAGGCCGAATACCTCGAACGACAGGCCTGGAAGTTCGAGGTGATGCTACCAGGAAATCCGAAGGCGGATGAGTGGAGATGTGTCAACTTCAGTCCTTACAAAATACACCAGCGCCTGGCACCATCGCTCCGACAAGGGAAGGTACTCCTCGCGGGTGATGCAGCGCACCGTGAGTCGGACCCCAATTGCTTCTCCAAGACTTGCATACTAAACGACCGAATCAGTATGTAATCCATTCGGTGGCTTGGGGTTGACAGGAGGGATTCTCGATGTCGGAGGCTTGTATGACTGCTTGAACGGGATCGCCACGGGAAGGGCAGATGAATCCATCTTAGATCGATACAGCGATGTTCGCAGGAAGCTGTATCGTGACTTCACCGATCCTATCTCGACAGAAAACATGCGGAGGCTCTGCAAGAGGGACCCCGACAAAGTGTTGGAGGAGGACACGTTTTTGCAGATGATTAACGAAAGCACACATAACCCTGAGGTAGCCGCGCAATTATCAGAGGGCTCGCAAGGCTTGGGCCATGATTTCACGCAATACTACAAGTAGAGATTAGAATCTTGTTAGTCGAGTTGAGGTGCTACCATCCTCCACATGACTGTTTCTTGATCTGAGTCTGAGAGGGAGGAATGAGAACGACACTGGAAACCCTCATCGAAGATGTAGTTTTGATAGCTATCCGACGAAACCAATACTCCGGGAAGAGAACCGACGGAGGACTGAAAGTATCGTCGTTTTCAATCAGAAAATTAAACAAGCCCCAGACCCTGGAATAAGAGTATCCGCAGGCCGTAAGTTTTGGGTGATCACCTTCACAGTGTTTCCTCAGACTTGCAGAGACCATTGCTTAGATACTAGGAAGTCGTCCCGACCTGAGAACGAAGGGTATTATGCATCCATAACATACTTAGGCAAGACTGAAGCGAAGATCTTGTGTGAACATACATGCTTTTACCCGCAAGACCCCATCAACAATATAAAAGAACTAGAATCCTACAGAGCTTTGAATTCGACAAAACAATAAGATTTTCGCTTCTTGTTTCGAGTCACTCAATTGAACTTGGAGTCGTGCTTTACCACCAGTTGAGTCTCGTCAGTCAACCGCCAAGCCAGTCAGAATAACCGTCCCCACATGACCGACAACGCGATGGACATGGCCAAATCCATCGGCACTGTTCGTTGCTTCCGGTTTGAAAGTATTCGTGGCAAACACCCCAAGGCTTGCGCATCTCAAGTCGGAAGTCGGTGGCTGGCCGCCTAGACGTTGCTGGTGAATATTACAACGGCATTGCTCTTGCAGTGGAGAAAACCGTCGTTAGCCAGACCAAAATTGTCTTGTAATCTTTCTGGTTTCCTGTCCGCAAACAGAGCCTTTATACCGAAGGGAAACCGCGACACGGCATTTGCGAGGGATAACCATGATGTTGCTCACTTGTGTTGCCGCGAACAAGACATAAAAGCAGTGATACAAGCGTAAGAGAGCAGTTCAATTAAACAGCCAGCATCACTGCCTCCTTGTAGATCGTTGAATTAAGCCAGACAGCAAGAAGCTATCAAAGCCTGTCGGTACTGAAGCCATGTCTTGAAGTACTACTCTCTCGACACTGACCACGTTCTGCTTCTTGCATTTATTCAGACACAAATAATCGACCGATGATGGACAATGGCTATTGGTGATAGGTACCCAGTTCAGTCCAACGACTTAGGGTGCGACTCATCGACCTGGATTGGCACATATCACCCCATGACACTTTGAAATGAAGAATGGGTTTTCACTAATTGTGTGAGAGAAATTGATCCTTGCCCATCACTTGATGTATAGATACAAACTCAGCATCTAGACCGACTTAGTTCACATCAAGGATGTCATATTCAAGGTGGATGAGAGCATCACCGTGTATTGAAACACACATTTCATTCCGGGCGTCGGCCCCGAGAAATAGCTCGCAACGCTTACCCTCCATGCTTCATCTATCTTATCTCCAAAACATATGCGCAAGTGGAAGGGCTTGCTAAAGATCCAGTCTCTGCCGCGTGCGCCATGACGGACATTAACCCCCAGCGTCATCCCTCAGTCTCTCCGCCTATGGTGTATTCATCTTTGACAACAGCGCGAAACGCATCATCACGGATACACAAATAACTAACAAATAAATACGAAGAGTTTTTCTAAAGTACCACACGGTTGAGTACCACGCGGATCGATCTCGAATCCAACCGAGCCCGACAGGCTGCAGCTGAATTCTGCCCAAGAAGATCACTCGCACCCGTCTCGTTGCTCTTCTTATACGTGCGAAATTCTAGCTGAAGAAGTCTTTTCCCACAGCTGAAAACGATGGCGAGTTACAGATCGAGGTGCCTCACCGGTCAGGATCTGCACTCCGCTCATCTTGGCCCATAATCGGCGTAGACAAGCAACGGCATAGACGCGATGGACATGATCAGAGCAGCAGACAGCACATGCCCTAATGCAGCATCGGAAGGGGAAAGGAAGACACAGCCCCAGGCAATATTTTTCTGCTGCTTGGTTCGAGCACAAATAAGATTACTGTCGCCAAAAGCCAGCCCTGGTTGTTTCTCAGACCAATGTCACTTGCCGAATATGCGTTCATGTAGGCTTTCCATCTGGTCGCAGGGGCACACCTACTGCCTGAGCGTGACGTCCACTCGCCTGGAAAACGCCTTGGGTAACCCATCACCATCAACCGAGGCGTACTTGGCGCCGTCACTGATCACTGCTTGAGTATCCTCGAAATCGTCCCAGAAGAAACGGCAAATACCAGGGCTAAGGGCAGCTGGCCGGAGTCAGCATCAAGTTTCTAGGCCTTCAACCGGCGGTCACAGACGGATGTTCTCGGAAGGAACACAGTAATACCGCCTCAGTAGGTTCACAATAGCCCCCTAGAGGGCTGCAAAGTATTCAATATCTCAACGTGGCGCCCCCTGCTATGCGGATGCAAGGCAACCAACGGACAGACGCTCAAAACTTGACGCCACGGGCTGCCAAACACCCGTCTAGTAAATCTAGCAGACTGCCACTTGCGTATGAGCACTCGGGCAGAATACCATATGCAAGAAATCACACAAGACAAACACCTGTTCAACATGGCAGATAGCATGTGGTGTGCCGTTTTGCCCCGCCCCCGCGCCGCGCCCCGGAGTCCGGTCTTCGTGGGAAGGAAGGGGGGCGGCTTGGCTGGCGGTCCCGTGTCAAGCCAGCGTGAGAACGAGGCCTCAACACCCGCTTAAAAAAAAGATGAGTCCAGACCTGGCCGTGTTTGGGCTGCGGGGTTGACGGGAAACTGCAAAAAGACACCCAGGTGATGTTGAGGCTGCGCATTTGTCCGCGTGTGCCCGATGTCTGCCTACCATGCGACCCTATCAAGACAACAGCCTGATGGGCTCTCCTGACTGTGTCAACAAATTACAACCCTGCCTGGACTGGCGCTGACGGGGCCACATGGGAATGTTGCTTCTGATCACGGATAGGCCAGACAGGGAGGCACGTGAGGTGTTGGAATTACGCGTGAGACAGGCTCCCTTTGGAAGAACCGGGACAGACGGGCTGGGAGACCGCCGCTCGGGCTACGGGAGGTTTTGGTGAAGAAATGTGAGGCACCTTTGGCAGGTTTGGGTTAGGAGGGGGACGTGCTAGACGGCGCCGTTGAGATCCGGAGCCGTGTCTTGGGGCCTTGGCGGTGTCGAGAAATGTTGGAGGTCTCTCGTCTGTGCCACCGCAGTATCTTGGGCAACCGGACGATCTGGAAGCCTTGGCTGCCCACGCTTTTGCAGCGCTCGTGTCTTGTGCGACGGCAACAACGACTGTGCATGAGATTTGAGTTGGATTGGATCTTGCGCGCTTGCCCAGAGCTGGACGCAAGTCAGCTGATGGCTGGTCCTGGCAGCGAAGAAACAAACGTTAGGTCCCTTGCATGCGTGCCATCGTCCATCGATGGTTTTACCCCGCAAAACATATCGCTGTAGGGTTGGTTTTGGTATGGCGGGCGACTCAGAGCTTCTCGACTTGCGGAAAAGTTACCACCACCATCCCGGTTCTCACCCGCACTAAGACCAACGCCAGTCGACCTTGCCGGCGTTGTATGACGCAGGGTTGGGGTAGAAATGAGCGAATCACAGCGCAGCGATAAGGCAACTATGAGACTCGTGTGAGGGTGTGGGATGGCGTCGCTAGATTCGGGGTGGTGCATGATGACTCTCTGGCGCGCGCACACCTGGCTGAACGTTAGTCGATGACCGTCTGTCTGCGCAAGTGTGTATGAAGCAAGCTCGTCCGGTGTCTGAATGCGAGATGCCGGGGCGCGTTTGCTGTTTGATGGGCAACATGGGGCAGCGTCTTGCTCATCTTTGGAACTGGCTGCATGTGAGTATGGACAGGTTACGCAGGCAGCGAATGACAATCAGGCTGATCGGGTTATTTCTCGGGCAAGTTCAACAAGCGGTCGGTCACTGGATGATGGCGTTGCACTCGGATAGGAGTGTCTGATGGAAAGCGACATGATCGATGGTGGAAGCTTGGTGGTCTGGGTTGGGTAGGGATGGGCAAGTGATGAACGGGCCAAGATGGCGGGGGAAGGGCGGGCGGGATGAGACAAACGGCCCTGAATATCATTTGCCATGACGGCTGGAGAGAATCCGTGGGCGCAATCCGTGTCCCGACAGGGACAGAAACGGAGGGCAAACTTCTGCGTCCCCCAGGTAGGTATTCCGTATCAGGCACCTGCAGCAAGGTTGAAGTCGTGGGCAAGGGCGATAGGCCGAGTCAAACACGATGCATGTGAAAAGCAACGAGCGATTGAACATGTCACCATGCGAGAGATATGACGGTCGAATCGAAGAGCATCGGCTGTTCGTCTCTTGATTCCTTGTGCTTGGGTTGAGTTTGTTCATGTTGGTTGGGTGAATGCGGTGATGACACGTCTGAAGGTGCTGAAAGCGGGAGAGGCGCCGAGGTGATCGACGAGGTCCGTACGGATAGTGCGGTGATATTGGTTTCCCAACGACCACTGAAGGGTCCTGGGCCAGATGGTAGGGCATGCTCATCGGGCTCGAGGCGACGAACGGAGGGAAGATGGAGGGTTCGGAGTCGAGATGGTTGAGTGGCCAAGAGAACGGATGGAACGGAAGGCGAGTGGTAAGCGGCGCTAGAGCCTAGTGCCATGGGAAACTGCAAAGTGCTCTCCGTCGGCCTGCCATTCTCGTCAATGAGAGCCCGTCACATAGGTCGACAAGGATTTAAAGAATTGGAGCAACTGAGTCTGGCAGGTCTGCGAGGCAGGCGTCTGAGTGGACGGAGTGGAGGCGACTGTTCATCCTGGGGGTCGGAGGAGGCCGATGGAGGTGGACTTTGCGTGCGTGTTTGCGAGTCACCGAGGGCAGCCCCCCGGACAAGGACCGGAGGTTCAATAGCCGTCCGGTGATTGACATGGGAACTTGGCCGCCGTCGGGAGATAGATTGGCGGCGATGATGGTTGCTGGTGGAGGCCCAGACACAGCGCTTGGCCGCAGGCGGGCGGCTTGACGGTTCGACGATAGTTCGAGTTGTGGTGATGGTGGTTGTCTTAGATTCTGCGGCCGTTCGCCTCGGCATCTTGAACTGACTGTCGGGATGGGCTAGAGTCAGGTCCAGAGCAGCGGAAGGAGTCAGGACCCCAGGCCGTGCTGAAGAAGTGGTCATCATTTTCAGCCCGAGGGCGCCGAGGCGATCCAGAGTTCATTGAACAGCGCGTGCGTGCCTGTTGCTCTGTCACACCCAGAGGGTCGGATGGATCTTGTGGTGGTCTCTTAGTAGAGATGGAGGGTCACGGAGGCGATCGGTAAAGCGTGTAATTGGGCGTTGCGCTTGGGGGGATGGAGGGGATGGGATGAAGTGGGAGGGATGGAGTCGTTGGGGGCTGATAAGCAAGAGGCACACGAGAGGCGGTCCGACGTTGGCGACGATGGGAAGGTCCAAGGAAGGCACCACTGGCACCAAGCCAAGGTCGTGACTGCACGTTGTTGTATTACGCATAAAATGAGCGACGCATTACATTGCCAGGTACAGCGTTCCACTGCATAGCATAGCATAGCATAGCCATTTGGCAGTTGTGCAAGAGCCATGCTCATGGACTGTGTTGTGCTTAATAATGCTATCCAGATAACTGGGGAGAGCTGTGTCTTACATAAGGTGATCTATTCCAGATTTATCCCCAGGGTGGGTCTCACGGCTTGCCATTGGCTGAGAAGCTACCTCAGGCTTCAGCTGGTCGCTCTTTCTTTCACAAGTGTTCTCTCAGAGGCCTCTCCACGTCCTTTGAGCGCTCCAGGGCTGGGCGCTGATCGGGTCAGCCGGGCGCTCACACGGTGAGACCCTGCTGGAAGGCCCCGAATGTCTTGGAATTCCCACTATTATGACGGTCTTCACCACTGCCACAGGACCATCAGCAGCGTCAGGGCCAATCAAGGCCGCAGATCCAGTATCAGTGTGTCGCCGTCTTTAGTACACGGTGCTGGCTATCCGTCATCCGGGCCCTGAAGCCCTGTAATTGTGACACTGGCGGCGCTATCATGGTCCGCAATAGGGGTGTTGATGTGAGAGCTGAAAGAGCGCTCGTATTATGTATCCTTCCAGAAGTGATCCAGGCTGGCTGGTGCTGGTCTCGAGGTGAGATCCACCGGTGGCATGAACGTGACCACATTCATGGACTGGACGGGACACTGGAGGAGGCGTGGACTTGGAGACCCCCAAGGACCCCCAACTCAACTCATGTCACCCCAAACTCTAAGGCCCAGACAGGAGGAGAGACGCAGAGCCGACGACAATTGGGGGAAGTTGGAGGCTTCGGGTGCTTATCAGTTGGGGCCTGTGCGCCCATCCATCGCGCTTTCCTTTGGAGTCGAGGAAAACGCCTCCAAATCAGGCAGGACGCACACGGAGGGCAAGCACACAGTCACCGTTGCCTGCCAGGGCAATACGCAGTAACGAAGCAAGCAGGCACGGAGGGTGAAAGCGCGAGCGAGGCAGGAACGATGAAGGGGAAAGGAAGGAGGCAGGAAGAGGCGTCAGTCCCTGCCTTGCCCTGCCCAGCCCAGCCTGTCTACCGCAGCAACCGCACAACGTCACGGGCAACCACGATCCAAGCAAATCAAGGCAGGGCAAGTCCAGCTGAGGTTCTGAAAAAGGCAGTGGAGGGCAGCATCACGTCCCGTCGTCTACCATCCAGCGCCTGTCGTCTGCGTCCCCGTGTCTTGCTGCTGCAAAGTCCCTAGTCATGATCCATGGCCGTGGCCCCTTCCCAGCCTGTCCTTCCCCAGGTTCCTTATCAGCAACTCCATCCTGGGCCCGTTATCAGTGTCAACGTGTGAGGTGCCTGCCCGTGCTGTGCCAGTCCGGTCACTGGTGTGTTGTATGGAACTCGGCCCAGTAACAGAAGGCGAGAGGTCTCATGCTGGGCTGGATTAAGGTGCAGATAATCAGGACAGCAGAAACAGCCTCGGGTTGCCTTCCGCTCCTACGGATAGTCACTTATCTCTCTGCCCAAAGCCAGATCTATAACCTGGAAGGAGCGAATGCCCTCTGGCCTGCCACCTAAAACCAAGAGTCCCCCAACCTACCTGTGGTCTCTTCTCTGCTAGTCTTCATTCTCGGTGTCTCTATTCTTCTTTTCTCCCTTATCGCCGCCTCGTGCATCGTCGTCATCGTCGCCGCCTCACCTACCGAACGAACCTCGACCTCGACTTCGCCTCTCGGGACGTGCGCCGACTGCTCTGCTCAATACCTCGCCGATACATCCTCAATACCAGACAGACACCAGGCCTCCCGACCGAATATCGATTATTCGTACCTAATACTAATACCCATCATCGTCATCGCGAGTCTCGAATTCACCCTCGTGACGGATTTCCATCTTCGATATCCAAGGCCTATCAGCCGTCAACCTCCAAACTCCAACTCGAATCCAGGTCCTTCCCGGCGCTCATCGCATTCCGCTATCAGCAGCCACCCTCCTCTGTCAACCTCTGACGACGACCCGAGTCGTGCGCTTGCTGGCCTCCACAACTTTACGCAAACCGCACCCGCACCGACATTACCACACGCGAACCCACCCGATCCAACATTCACGGTCAAGCAATCTGCACTTCACTCGCAACCGCGCTCTGCACTCTGCAAGGGCGGCAGCACATTCCATCGTCCCGCCCGTTCCTTGCTACGAAATCGCGCGAGATTGGAGAATAAGGGTGCAGCTCCAGCAAAAGCCGGGCCCCAAAGACCCAGATCCCACCCAGAACCACCGCAACCAAGGATACGACGAATACAAGACGTTGAAGAAAAAAGACCCGCTGCGTCACTTCCCGTCAATCACCGTCCTCAAAGGACCCGTCGCGATTCCTGTTCGAGCTTCTCCTTGAAAAGCATCGTCGCTGATTTGTTACCGCGCCGTTGACTTTACGTTACCAAAACATTGGCCACCCCTGCCCCCGGCACACGACACAGCGCATCTCCCAGTCCCAGAAGGGCAGAAGGGCAGAAGGGGTTACAGAAGTCAGAGACGACAGACGAGCACGTCCGTCCGCAACGCACGCCCACACACACCCCCAGCAGCAAGCACCACCTCAAGAGGTCCCAAGTGCCAGCCCAAGGGACAAACTGTACAACTGCCCGAACTGGTCCCCTAATTGCGCGTGCCCTCTGCAGACTCCAACAGCCCGCCACGCCTTGCACGCCTCCACTGGTCGGCCCAAACCCTTCAGAGTCACAGTCGAATCCCCTAGCTTGAGCGCCGCCTCCTCCGCCGTCTGCTCGCCAATCCGTACCAGTTTCCAGCGCCTCCGAACCCCCATCCATCCTGGTTCCAGTCGTGCCCTGCCCTGTCCTGCAGAGGTACCTCACCGTCTCTGCCTGACCTCAGGGAGCCACAAAGTACCACCACCCTAGGGAGTGTGTGCGTGCCTG